CACAATTTTTAAGTAAGCACATCTGTTTCCATTTAAAACACAAGCAGAGCTTGTGCTAGCATGTGTAGCACTACATAGGGGTGTTCATCAACCAATCCAAACCGATTCAAACCGCAGTGACCGAACCGAAAAATTGATAACCGAATAAACCGAAAACCGAAAAACCAAAAACCGATTAAAAACTGCAAATTTTAATTGGATTGGATCAATTTTTGGATGGGTTGATGAAAACTGATCCAATCCAAACCGATCCAATATATTAATTTCCCTCTACCTACTTGGGTATTTCCCTAATCATAGCATAAAAATTTCTAAACCCAAGACTCATTAACCCATCAACTAAACCCAAGAAAAAATCTAATCATATCTCATCAACAAAATTTTATCTTTGTAGAGCTTCATATCTCATTGCCAAAATTAAAAAAATTATATTATAGTTTACTAATGCTTTTGTATTTCAATTTTTTTTTACAAAGCCAATATATACAAAAGATGTTATTTGGACAGTAATCATGAAATAAATTTTAGGATTTTCAAAAAACCGAAAACCGATCCAATCCAAACCGAAAAAAATTGGATTGGATTGGATCGGATTTGAAAAAAATCAAAACCGAATGGATGATTATATGATCAAACCGAAGGGATTGGATCAGATGATTTTTGCTTCCAAAACCGATCCAATCCAGACCGCGAACACCCCTAGCACTACATAACTTTCTTCGCCAGTTAATGAAGAAGATAATTTTTAACTCATTGGTCAAACCCAAGAGCATGAATAAGAAGATTCTATTGCGTGGAGGACCAATATAGCTTTAGATATGTGGAGAGCTAATGCTTAGTAATTTTGAATGTCTGTTAAAAATTATATTAAGTTTTACTGATTGAGAAAATTATATTAGGTTTTACTTTTTTTATTAATATCATTGCATTTTTTTTATTTTTTTATTGACTCTTGTAATTTTGAATGTTTGTTAAAAATTCATATGGTTTTTTAAAATCTTATAAATTATATTAAAAAGAGTCTTTAAAAAAAAGAGTCTTTCAAAAAAGTTTTAAAAATCCCTCTAATTATAAATAGTCTTTAAAATCTATAAGATTTTTTATTTCAAAAAAGTCTTTTAAAATCATAATTCAATATACCCCCTAAAGGCCTAAAGTTTATAGACCCAAACCAAATTGAAATATAAAAGATAAAAAAATTTATTCACAAAGATCACATGAAATAAATTTTCATTAACATCACATGAAATAATGTTCATAAAGATCACACGAAAATGTTCATAAAAATCACATGAAAATTTCATATATGTATATATACATATAATTTGTACTTTCTTTACTAATTGTATATTATATTATATTTTAATTTTAAATAAATATTTATTATTTGTTAAAATAACATCAATCCTATTACTTTCAAAATTATAATGTTACAAATTATGATCTCCGAATATGTCTTTAAATGAATAGTAATATATCATAAATATATTATATTATTAAAAAATAAAAGGTATGTGTAACTATGATAATATTTTGATAAGTCAAATTTTTTGACCCCGAACAAAATTAAATTATGGCTCCACAATTGCTTCCTATGATGAATCAGTAAAATTATGGGATGCACACAATTAAGAAACTGGAGTGAGCTTCAAGCTTAATTTATAATTTTTCCTCCTTTTGCTTTTTTGAAATGTTGGTTTTGCAACATATATAATATATACATCTTTACTATTAGGGACATAGTGGAGTTATAATTTTCATGTGCTGGAAACAATCAGAAAGATTCATTGCCTCCGTGAGTAAAGATGAGACAATCTACTGGGATGCAAGAGTACATTCACAAACTATCCCACTATATTCTATGCAATGCCTGGGAGTTTTAAGTCTTGCATATTTTGTGTAAATTGTTCGGTCCTGGAAAGACCGTATTGCTATATCGTATGGTATGCGCTCAGAGATACTGTATAATTATATGTATATTAGACTTATAGCCGATGTCTCAATCACTGCGCACAAGCAACAGGCTTATAGCCAAGACGTGGGTGTGTGCACAGTGTTGGCAGTAATAGTAAATAGGTTAAAAGTGTATATGTGGTGTCTTTAACCTCTTATTTATAAGGGTTACCTCTTGGGCTTGTGTAGATCTCTCAGTTGTAGTAAGATTTAACTTCCTTTCTGTTGGGATAAGGACTCTATCCTTAACTGCCTTATTGTTTTATGTTGTTAGGATAATTTGAGAATTATCCTTTAAGGGATCCTTGAGTAGGTGGTTATGATATAGAAATATTCCATAACACACCTACAATAATACAAGCTTTGTACTTTAAAATGATATTTCTTCTTCCCATTATTTAATGTATGAGATGATATTATTAGGACTTTTTTGATAATATACATTCACACTTTTGGTAAATCTTTTTTAAAATATTATTGTTTTTATATTTCAACAGTTATGTGACTCAAAATATTCAGCAAATAAATTCCCATAAAAAAATAACTCATTTATGGGAAATACTACTCTAATTCTACATGAGATAGTTATTTCATTTTCTCTCACTTCGAAAATCGCACCCCCTCTTTTTTTTTTTTTCTTTTGTTTTTTAATGATAAATCCCACTTGAATTCTCTCTATAACATGAGAGAATTACTTCCATGTAGCATGAGACTAATATTCTCTATCATTTATTGTGGTGGTTTTTTTTTTTAAACAAATTTATTACATTAGAATCTGATCCCAATCCCCACCTTCGAATCTTTCGAACCCACCCACCTACTCAACCTATAAGATCCACCAAACACCAACTTCCAACCCTTTGGGGTTACAATAGTGTTTTGCTTTCGCACCTCTTCCTTCTCCTTGAGAACAATCCTAAATTACTGTGCTCCTAATTCGGTGGACGACCGGTGATTACCCCTTTTCTTTACTCGATAGATTTTTTCACAAGACCCCACCAACCAACTTTCTCACTCTAGAATTGTGGGCATGCCTTTGCTTTCATTTTACATCTTTCTCAATCTTTCTCGAGGTGTCATGGGCTCCATGCATGATAAGTGGTGTATTAATTAATACATAGTTTTGGAGAAAATAAAGCCCTCTATGATAAGAATAAATTTTTAATGAAACTGATACATTCAAGATTCCGTATAATTTTTATTTATTTTGTGACAATTGGATAAAAAACATCACATCATTTGATTAATTGCCACTTAATTTTTTTTTTTTAAATAATGTGATATTTTTTGTTCATATGTCACAAAATAAATGAAAGTTACACTGAATCTTCAGTGCATCGGTTACACTAAAAATTTATTCCTGGTTGTTAACGCTAGTGACAATTTAATGTCATTGCAATTAACAATGGAAAGATATAATTTATTGATTGTTATGATTAGTGGTAGAATTGAACTAAAATTATGAATTTTAAATTGCTAGTTGTACTTTAAAAAGGATAGTGATCAACAGGGAGGAAAGATTGCCTTGATGATGAGATTGCTTTAAAAACCCATTAATGTATATATTTATTTGACATATTTATTAAGTTGCTAACTTGCCCGTCAAACAATACCTCCAATTCAACATGCATGAATTGATTCTTTCCTTTTAGATTCACTTAATTTTTTGGGTTAAGGGTGCACTTTGGAGAAAGTTCCAAGGGTAACTGCAAGAAAGTAAAGAGGATAAAATAAAAGGAAATAATACGCATTACGGGACTAAATTTTACATAATTTTAATATATGTTCCGTAACTTTATTATTTGAATTGTGAAGGTAAAATAAGAAATGGAGGCTTACAAGACAAACAATATGAAGCTTTAAGGATACCTAGATAGGTTTGGAGAGAAATAAAAACTTGGGCATCACGTTTAGGGGTAAATAGAAGAGATATTTACCTAATGATGGTAGCGCAATTGGCGCATAGGAATTGAGCAGGTGATTGTGAGAGCATGTGTTCGATCCTCCCCAGTATCATTTTTGAAAGGAATTTAAAGCATTAATCCTGGATCTGTCCCGAAGAGAATTGCCTTCCATGGAGAATGCCTGTAGTTTATCCTTTAATGTATCATAACTTAAAATTAAGTGACAAAAGCAAAAGGAACAATTCTTCTTAAGCAGATTTTGTCCAGCAAGTATGCCATTTTGCAAAGACTTCCATAATAGAATCTCAACCTCAGAAGTTTTGAGTTAGCCAGAAAGGCAAAAACTGAGTTTTAATTAACTCAAAGTTAGAATCCAGCAGATGATTGATTGGCGGCCGATGGCCAGAAACTGTAATGAACTAATGATAAATTACAATAAGATGGATAGCAGATGTAGAAAGATAATCAGTTTTTATGTCAATTAATAGTGTGCTCTTGTTCTGTAAATGAAATTTTGTTTCAGCAAAGGCAATTTCCATTTCCTTTTAGGACAAAGGAATAATTTCATTCATTTAAGCACAAATGTTGAAGTGTCTGTTGAATTCATTCCATCTTTCCAATCTCGGGCATTATTTTTGCATTTGAAACACCATTTGGAATTATTTTCTATTAGTTACTGCATTAGACAAAAGAATGCAAGACATTTCTCCCTAATTTGCTCACTACCCAGGAGACATTTTAACGGGTGTTATAAATAATAAATTTTATCAAAAGATCTGCTCGTGTATAAACAGCAGAATAAGTCATGATTCCCTAATTCACATCAACTCCTTAGTAAACAAATGGAAGCAAAATATGCATTGCATATAGAAGAATGCAAGAGCATTGTAGCAACATGCTAGACATAAAAAAGCAAAGATAAGGAAGAAAAAAAATAAGGGGAAAATATTCCTGAAGCCAATACCATACACTAAGATATAGTTCATGGAGTTGTACACCACATTTTGTCCCAATCACGTTAAGCATATTGGCCTATTCATATTCAGGCATTGCTCAGCAAAGTAGTCATTTCAAACAGGGTTTAACATTCAACCAATAAACAAAATAGTAGCAAAGTAGAATGAAATTAGGAATAACAGCATAATCTGACATTAACAATACTCATATAAAAGCCAATAATACAATTATGAATAAATTCCCTGTAGGTTCCATCTCAATTTCAGCACGATATTCAGGCACATAAATGCACTAAAATACAGGAGACCTAATAGTCTAGACGAAACTAAAAATACTCATTATTCAGGAAAATCATGAAAAGAAGCAACGTGATATGATTAACTCATAATCTACTTCCTTAACTAGTAACACAAGCAAAAGAACAATTTAATAGATGGAATAATTCTCACTAGCCCCAGGCCAAAAGTTTTTATAGATAGTCCTTGCAATTGGAAGAATAGCAATAAGGGCAATCTGAAGCTGGTCTGAGCTGCTTGTTCTCACAGTGATCTGTCCACTGAGCTTGTTGTTCAATCCAGCACGAACAGCCATCTTAAAACTTCGTCCAATAGAAAATTGGGACTGAAGATTGGCCCCTAAAGCCAAGTCTCCTCTCCACTTCACCAGAGAAAGGCTCAATGAAGACTGGTCCTGACCAACTGGAAAATCTGCTTCTCTAAGCCGCACTTCAACATTGGCCCCATAAGCAGAATCACCTTGAGACCGCACGGTCCCTGTGCTCCCCACTAATACCAAGCGTTTCCCCAGAGCTATCTGATCCTCAACTTTCAGCCCAGTGGACACATTTTCACCCAAAAATGTCACAGACACCCCAGCAGCAGTTTTATTTCTTTTGAAATTTTTGAATTTTGTCTCTCCTCTAACAATGTATGCTACCTGCTTTCCAATGTTTTGAATGTCAAAGCCTGCCATGGTTGATCCATTGTCCCCATGTTTCGCAGCAACTGAGGAATCCAAGTGGATGCTGAAGTCTTTCTTATCCTTTGTTATCTGAACAGTAACAGCTGCTGGGAATTGATTGATAATGGCTAGGCTGTTTTCAATGTTTACACCATCATAACCACAATCATGGTCCCAACTATGGGTGTCTAAGACTGGCCTTGTCAGGAGCTGGGAAGTTGGTTCTAAGAAACGGTATCTGTAGGCTGGATTGTCACTGTCAAAGGATGGTGGCAAGGCCATATCAGGCAATGGAACTGGCACAGCAGCTGGACTTCCATTCTCTTGTTCATCTTCTTCCATGTAATCATAATCACTCACTTTAGTATTACCCTTTTTCTTCTCTCTCATCCTTCTCAACTCCTCTCTCCATTGCTTCTTCTGTAGAAGTTTCACCCGATAATCATACTCCTCAAAATATGCTTTTTGCTGTTCTCTATTAAGCTTAGCAATCTGAGATTTCTTCAGCGGCTTAAATGGTGGGAGCTGGTCATACTCATCTTCATCTTCATCTAGATCAGAATCAGACAAGTCAGCCATTTCAATATCAGAGTCACCATTGTCAACCCCGCCTTGATCAGCAGGGAGTTTTGGGTGGGCACGTGACTGCAACAGCCAAGATAACAAGTATGGGAGTGGTGGAGAGCGAGTACGAAAACCAAACAGCCTGCGCTGGTCAAATGATTCCTGTGTTTTTGAAAGGTTACCAGCTTCAGAGAGAATTTTCATTGAGTAGCATAAGAGCAACAAGAGGGGTCTCCAACTTTGACCATTAGGAAGCACCTTCAGGCCATCTCTATTTTTTCGACAAGAAGGATGGTTCTCAACAAGAGAAACCGGATTCATTAAACTTGGATTCATAAGACGTAGGTCACCAACAGCTTGTCCAATGGTTTGTTGAACTATATGAGATCTTTGAGCAACAAATACATCATAACTCAATGGGGTACCTGATGGTCCATCTGGAGGAGCAGAGGCAGCATGAGTCAGAGTGACTATAACATTTCGCCATATCGACGGACCAAGGGCACTAGTAATTGATCTTAACATTGGCAGATCATTCAGATCCCTAGTTTGTAGGTCCAGCCGATCCACATAGAGGACAATATCAGGGGGCGATTTTTTTGTCAACTTCTTCACCGTAGATAAGACTTTTCTATTGAAACTTTGTTCCATTGCAGAAGACTTCAGACCTGGTGTGTCAAAAATCCTTATCTTCACTCCATCAACCATCCCAACAATTTCTGTCACAGCTGTTGTAGCAGGACCATATGCACTGAAGCTGGTCCTTGTCTCACCGAAAATTGAATTTATTGTAGCACTCTTGCCCACACCTGTTTTCCCAAGAACAAGTATATTTATGGAATAATTCAAATCATCTCTTCCCTCAGCTTCAAGCTTGGATGCACTCTCCTTTGCAGCATCTAGGCTAAATATTTGACCAGTTTGCCTCCCTGCAACAAGTGTCAACCGGTACAGCACCTGTGCTGCTATTGATTCTTCTGGAGTAAAACCTAGTCTCTGAACCAGTCTTAAGAATTTTATCCTAATTTGCTGCAATTTCTCCAGTTTCTTTTTCTCTTCTTCACTCAAATTACTATCAGAATTGGTACCAGCTCTACTAATGGAAGGAGTGAATAGATTGGGGCGAATTGATCGCCCAGGAGGCTTACCTGACAAATGTGATGGTCCTAAACCTGCAGGACGCTCAAGAGAGAAAAGCCTTGATCCATCTTCAGATGTTACTGTGATACTGCTGCCGTCTTGTCCCGCACCTGATGCTGCTTTCAAAAGAGCAGCCAAGGTAGCAGTATCAAACATCTCCTTGCTATCTCCTTCATCATCAGTTTCCACTTCTTCATCTGAGTCAGTAACAATCTGGCCATCAATTCTCTCATCCCGCGAACTCTCCCCGGCACCCAATTGATGTTCCAGGTCCTCCAAGAACTTGTTGGCAGCATCAGAGCTTCCAAATATCATTCCTTCCCCCTTCTTATCTGACACTGAACCATCAATCTCTCTGTCACCATAATGATGTTCTTCCTCATTACCCTCACCAGAGGCCTCAATATGACTTCCATTTTCCCCCTCAAGAGGAGCAATGTCACTCTTACGCCCATGTACACCATCATCATCCACTCCAGTATCAACATTTTGACCAGACTCAGCATCCCCATCCACAAACTTATCTATTACATCTTCAGCACCCTTTTCAAGAGGAGCAATGTCACTCTTCTGCACATGTACACTATCATCATCCACTCCAGTGCCAACATTTTGACCAGACTCAGCATCCCTATCTACAACCTTATCAAAAACACCTTCTCCACCCTTCTCAAGAGGAGCAATGTCACTCTTCTGCACATGTCCAGTATCATCATGAGTTCCAGTGTCAACATTTTGACCAGACTCAGCATCCCCATCAGCAACCTTATCAAAAACACCTTCAGAAACCTGCTCAATTGGATCAAAACCATTATCCAGGCTCACATTACAAGCCGGAGCCTCTACCCCTTTAATCTCAGACTCATCAACTTCCACCTTATCCCCAACAACAGCCACTCCAGACCCCAACAGATTAGCATTTAGAGTGTCAACAAGGGACTCTTCACCACTTGTAAACTTGACATCATCATCATTTACAACAACAGAAGATTCCAGATGATCATTCCCATCATCAACCTGCTGTCTATCATGTAAAACCTCGTCGCTTTCTTCATTGACAATCTCCTCCTCATCATTCTTCATAGCAGAAACTCCTTCAAAATCCCCACTTTCGAACCCCTCATCACCGACACCAGAAGCCTCCACAAAAACCTCATGGGTGTCACTAAAGTCACCCTCTTTCACCGGTTCATCCAATTGCTCTTTCCCATCACCGTCACCACCGCCTTGCTCCAAAACGACGCCGTTCGAATCATCTTCCCCATCAACAAACCTGTTATCCTCATCTTCATCATCATCATCATCATCATCATCATCCATGGTTACCTTGGCAACAGGCCTCTGAGTTTCCCCAGAATCAACAAAAGGGTCATCCAAAGCGTGCTTCCCAGGTGGGTATACAAGAACGGGCATGGTGGGCTCGGTCTCCAACTCTTCATCTTCACCGCTGATGAACCCATCATTCTCAGAGTCGGAACCGACATTGATACCATTAACGTGCTTGTGTTCAGCTTCGGAAGAAGAAGAAGGGGGAAGTGTAGCTGATTGGTCAGAGACAAGGAAGGAAGTTTGAGGAAGAGAAAGGTCCATGGATGCAGGATACAGATACTAGACTGAGGATGTTAGGAATATTAAGAGATAAGGTTTTAGGATTAGCCTCAGTTGCATCGAAAGGGGTTTTAACCTCAATGGATTCGATTTCTTTTGTTTTTGTCTTTTTCTTCTTCTTCACCAAATGAACTACAAACCTCAACTACCAATGGATTGAGATTTTAAAATTTTTAATGCATTATTTTTTTTAAAAAAAATTATTGGTATTTCATTGGAATTTTAAAAAAGTTATTCGAATTTTAAAAGATTGTTTTAGAATTCGTCAAATTTTGATGGTATTCAATCAGGATTTTAAATAAGAAAAAAATAACCTTGTGATCTTAAAAAATTTGACGATTTTAATGAATTTTTAGTGAGAAGTATAAATAACATGTCTCTCTCATAATTTCAACATAATTCATACGATTTTTTGAGATTTCTCTACTTCTATTAATGTGGATTTCTCAAGCTGTAAGTCGCAATTTTTCTTGGCACAAAAATATGTGGTTTTGTATTAAAAAATAAAAAAATAGTGAAAAAATAACAAGTGAACAAAAAACCCTAAACTAATTTTTGTTTTACGTAAATGAAACGAGATTGATTCAAAAAAAGATTGAAACTTTCATAATATGAACTCTATGTTTTATAACAATACATTTATGAACTAAATTCTTTCGCTACAAGAGACAATTTTAAACAATTTTTGTGTCAATAGATCACTAAAAACTTGTTTTTAAAAAGTCTTAAAGCAATTTATGATTTCAATGTATCGATTGAAAATAATTTGAGAAATTTTTTAAACTTTCATTTAATAAAATCCATAAATCCAGATTAAAATTTTTCTTAGAATACCCGTGAAGAAATGCATATAATATATGGTTAGAAAGCTCTCATCACGTAGTACAAAAATCACAAGGTTTCTAAGATAAATTGCAAAAAAATTCCAAACAAAATGGAAAGATTTCACAAAATGTATTAGCAGCTTGTAATTCTGTATATTAAGTTTTACTTTTTTTTATTAATATCATTGCATTTCTTTGTTATTTTTTTATCGACTCTTGTAATTTTGAATATTTGTTAAAAATTCAAATTCATATAATTTTTTAAAATCTTATAAATCTATATTGTCCTCTCAAATCTTATAAATTCTATTAAAATATTTGAAAATCAATTCTTATAAAATTTTGATTTATAAAGACATTTTGTACAATATAATTCTAAATAATTGGGGTAACTAGAATTTAAACGTGTAATTTTGAGTAAGCTTGTCTATTATACTTATGCTTAGGAGTTTCATACATTGTTTTCACAATTTTGATTCGTGTGTAATAAAAGATTAAAGGTCTTTCAAGAGGTGCTTCATTAAATATTGAATTTTCGATTTTAAGATTCAAACAACAACTTTTTAATGCTCGGACCGACACACATGTGGTAGCATTCAGTATTTTAATCTAACCCCCTTTTTTTCGATCATTATTTAAAATGAGAGAAATAGAAATTTAGAAGAGATGAATAATTGTAGATGTTCGAGATCACAACTAGAGTTAAAATAAAAAAATTAATATCGGTTACATTTCCAAGACTCTAGAAATAACACTTATATTGTTGATATATAAAAAAAAATAACACTTATACTAATAAGAAAGCGATGGAATCGACATACATATAAGGCTAAGAAACATCTTATTCTCCAAATGGATTTAGAGTGTGTAAATCTTATTTGCTAGCTTGCTTCATATTAATTTGACCTAGATCGGTTAAGATAATGCTGAGTCTCATTCCTCCAATGCTGGAGAGAGATTACTTCAAATGCTTTAGTAGACAAGATATAGCCATGCATATATAAGGACTTCCATAGGGAGTGAATATGCATATTTGAGAATTTGATCTGTATAGGAGAGGTCAACTCGAGAGGATACTAATCCCTTCATTAATTTTTTCAATTTCTAGAATGAAGTAATTTTGGGATTGGCGGAAATATTTGTATCTTCTGTGAGGAGAGATATTTTTCATTATATATATAAAAGATTTACTATTTTTTCAGTTACTAGAAACAAATTATCTCCAATTATTGAAAATAACGCCGTGTTGGGATTGAGAGAGAAAAAAAATTATAATTATCAAAATTGATGTAATCTCGAAATAAATTAAAATTATAAAAATGTATTTCTCCCAATTTCAAATAATGTGATTTTGAAATCTTCCGCCCCACCTAAAATGCTTATTGTTCACAGGGTCCCACCTAATAGCTGTATATGATTATATGCTCGCTGATAGAACTAAATCCATTATGCATGAACTTTTTCTCATTGTAAAGAATCAATTCAACCCAAAAGCTTAAGTTGTTGGGAGAGGACTTTTTAATGGTTTATATTATTTTCTAACACACCCCCAATACATAAGCTCTTTGGACTTGAAGCGTGGATATTATACATGCCCAATTTTTAGTTTATCTTGTGCTTATTTAATTCCACTAGAAAGTGGGGAGGTGGTGAGAATAGAACTCATGACCTTGTGGTCACTGAAGCTCTAATACCATATTACTCTTGGAAGAGAAGCTACGCTGAATTCTTTATTTGAAAAGTAAGTAGAAAGTAAAGTAGAGTACAAATATATAGTTGTCACACTAATAAGCTATGAGAAGGAAAAGAAACAAACAAAACTGACTCATCACATAGGCTATAACAGAAAAGGTACTACATCTACAAAGGGATACTAGTGAGTGTACATGCTGAATTGTAACCAATGCTATTATATATGGTAATACCCCGCCTTCAAGTTTGGAGGTGTACGTCTAACATCCCCAATTTGTTGATGAATTCTCAAAAGGGTGCTGGATGAAATGCCTTAGTTAAAACATTAGCAAGTTGAGAATGAGTGGAGACTGGCAAGAGCTTCAACAACCTGGATTGAATCTTCTCTCTAGTCACATGGCAATCAAGCTTAATATGCTTGCTCCTTTCATGAAAGGTGGGGTTATATGCTAAGTAGACTGCTGCTTGGTTATCACAGTAAACCATAACAGGTTGAGTAATCGGTACTTGTAAGTCTTTGAGTAAGTAGGTGAGCCATTGAAGATCGCATGTAATGGTCGCAATATTACTCACATGAGTGGAATCTTGCTTTGACTCTTGAATGAGTTCTAAGATAGTTTGATATTGCTCCTTCCTAAGACTTAGTGTGGAGCTTGAATCTTGACTTGCCATCTTTATGAATCAAGTGTTGGAAGAGTGAAATAGGTTCGTGCTCAAGAAGAAAAAAATCAAGAAATGGCGAGAATATTAGAGATACAAGTATAGCTCTAATACCATGTAAAGAAATAATTCAACTCAAAAGCTTAAGTTGTTGGGTGAGAGCTTTTTTATGGTTTATATTATTCTCTAACATAACTGATCTGTGACAGTAGATAGGCCACAATGGTAATCTGCCAAGTACTTTGGTTGTGTCCTTGTTCTGGTGGATCTTCGGACAATAGTATCAAGAGATTGAGAAAAATGGGCTGATCAGATAAGGACATGTGATCTTGGGCATCTTGGGGTGTGTTATTCCATCCCTTCTATCAATGGACATAGGTACTTTCTCACTCTTGTTGATGATCATAGTCGTTTTACTCGGATTATGTTCATGAAGAATAAATTAGAAGCAAGGATCCACGTACAAAATTTTGCCATCCTCATTGAGAACCAATTTAATACAACCATCAAGGCCTTTCGCAGTGGTAATGGGCCTGAGTTTATGATGGTTGAATTTTTTAAACTCAAAGGAATTCTCCATCAAACATTCTGTGTGGACACTGGCAGATCCAACATAGAAATTCAATAAGGGCAAATTTTTTTAACCAATACCAAACACTAAATTTTATCTTGCAGCCTAACTACGGTTATTTAGCCATGTCTCAAACGTGACTAATTTTTGAAAATCAGCTAAGGCAGAGGCATTGGCTAGAGCCAATGTGGCTCTACCACTGTGTGTGGAATGCCCTCAACAAAATAGAATAGTTAAGAGAAAATACCAACGTGTTTTTAACATAGCCAGCCCAGTTTTCTTCCAAGCAAATATGCCTAAACAATTTTGGTGCTACTATATTACTCATGCAGATCATCTTGTCAATAGACTAGTAACACCTGTTCTTGGAAATAAAATTCCATATAAGATACTCCATGGTACTCCTCTTGTTCTAATCCAACTTAAAGTTTTTGGTTGTTTGTCCTTTGCTTCTACAATCCCTAATCAAAGAACCAAATTTGACCCTCGAGCAAGAAAGTGTGTGATTCTTGGTTATAAAGATGGGATCAAGGGATATCTTCTTTTTGATTTGTCATCAAAAGCTATTTTTGTCTCGCGCCATGTGATCCTTTATGAATCAGTTTTTCCTTTTTCCACTGTTTCATCAAGATCCAAAAATCCACCTACCATTGTCCTTTCAACTTATGATCATGACACCAATATAGAACTTTTACCCACTGATATTGGATCATTGAATACACTTCCAAATTCTCACAACCCCGACACTACAACTGTTGATAACACTCACAACTTACGACAAGACAAAGACAATTTATGTGTTTTCTCCTAGAAATATGTCATCCGACAATTTACTTCTGTTTATAAGAATCAAAAGTACATCGCTTAAATAACTAAAGTTAATTTTTTTTTTTCTAGATCAATAGGATAACCACTTCCGAAACGTTTTATGTGGGAATAAAAATTCACATAAAATACCAAAACTCCTTTACAAGTCATAACTCTTCCCTCACTTGTGGTACTATCACCAAATAGACAAGTAATAGCTTAGTTTACATTAAAAATGTTTTTAAGTCAAGCTTTATTTTTAGCATTTTGATTATATTATTTGTATTAATAATAAGTTAATTCAAATGCATAACTAAGTGTACATTTGATTTTGAATAATCTAATTTTTTAAAAGATACATTAACAAAATTTAATTATAAAATATTTTGAATACAAAATAAATTAATATAAACATACATTAGTTAACAAACATACATTAGTTAACTTATTGACTTTTCTCAGTTAATGTTTCTTAGCACAATCAGAAGGTGTAGAATTTGCTTTATGTTTGGTAGCGTAGAAAAGATAACGTAAAGGATTGGATTTCTTATGTTTTGTTGTTTTCTGGTATGTACGTGTTTCTACTTGCTCCCTCTTATCCCTCATCTCAATTGAAAGGTCAAAATTTGCTACTTCTTTCATCAATCTATCATCTAAATTATCCTATCTGAGAAAAGAATCTCAAAATGTTTAGCAATAAATAAAATATAAATTCATGATTCAAGTATTTTAGTTCACGTATTATAGCAGTGATAATTAATTTGCTTATGATGGAATGTGGTTTGGTGATAAATTTAAATGTGGTTTTGCTAATAAGGTTGGTTCAATTGATGGAATCCATTTACTTTAATTCAAAAGTTTTAAGGTTTATTCTAAGTATTAGTCGATTATTAATAAATTAATTATAAGTATTATTAGAATAGTTTGTGAGGTTACAAAAATTATCATGATAAATATTAATATATCCTTAAAATAAAATAAAAAATTTGAAAATATCATCGGTGTGAAATCACAAGAGATAATTGCTCTTATAAAAACTATAAACCCATTAAAATCACTTCAAAGTTCAAACTATCATAATATCATATTATCCTTTTTTCCCCCTCTTTTATAAAGGAGTTGTATCACCTAATATAAGAAAGGAAAATATTGGGTAATGTTGAGATTATTACTTTCTATGGTGGAATTTTACCCTTAGATAAAACAATGTCCATTTTTTTTTTATGTTATTCAAGGTTAATACTCTAGGATTGCTTTCTTTTCACTTTTCAACTAAACCAAAATATTTGTTTTAAATTTATTCATAGAATGAAGTAATTAAATTATACTCGTTTTAATTATACAAAAATCCCTCAAAACGTGTCGCCGCATTATTCTTAATGTATATAACTAAATTAATCTTTAAGTAGGTATAGCAGTTATTAAATTTGTCTTTTTTTTTTATCATCACTTTAATTATTATTTTTTATAAAAATGAATGTAGTGATATTTTAATTCTTTGAGCGACTAATTTGATGATAAAAATACTGAATAACTAATACAGTAATACGCTAAAAGATTAAATTTAAGAATTTACTCTGTTATTAATTTAGAAATGAGTAAAATTACAACTTACACCCTTCAGTTATGTTCCAAGTGCATATTAGACCATGGTATCTTCAAAGATATATATAAATGACCCACTAGACTTCAGACTTCTTTAAAAAACAGAAATCTTCCTCAATTTGTAAAAGCCGGTAATTATTGACAGAATTGTCACATGACACCAAAAAAATAAAGTGAGAGAATTCAGAAAAAAAGAAAAGAAAAAGTTTTCAACACTAACCAGCTAATTGAATCTTTGCCGTTTCGAAAAATGCCAATAGTATATGACACCAAGCCTAATGTTCATTCGGTTGCAACCATGGAAAATAGCAGAGTTCATCAGACAAGAACTGTTCCGATTCTGATCTTTGATGCTCTTTGTTTCCCAGGTTGTAATTCATCATAAAAACTACGGGTCTCCCCTTGCAGCAATTCCCATCTTGTTGGTCCTCTTTGGATATGCAAGTTATACTTAATGGATGGAATGGCAAATCTCAGTTGAGATACAGAGGAGAGTAAATTAAGATTCAGAGTCATGGTATTCTTTCAAATGAATGTAAACCCTATCCTTTTATCAGTTTCAACCATATAGATTAGGATAAAAAGTGAAAACAGATCCATCCTAATGCTGACCAAAGACAATATTCATTTCAATATGAGCAAGAAATGTGAACCCTGTCCTACCATTATCTATTGCACAAAATAACTGCCAATATCCATCACCAATCATGGTTGAAACTCCTTTAACTGTCCTATCCTTTGATAACAACTAACCAAAGGAAAATTACAACAGTCAATCTGTCTCTAGCAAGCTAAATAAACATGATACAAGCAAGCCAACATGGTTTTGGATAATCTCTAATATCTCTCTAATACCAAATACAAAGAAATGCTCACACAATTAAAATCTCATTTATCAAAGGCTAGAAAGGATAATATTTGATAAAATCACTAATTTACATTTTACCTGCATCATGCGGACATCCTCAGGTACCTACTACTCAAAACCTAAACCTATGATAGTAAGAGATATCCGAGGCTGGTGTTATTGATCTTGTGATATACAATAGATCCCCGCTGTCTAAGGTATCATCATTTCTGTAGTTTTAGGATGTCCTATCTGACGAAGTAAGATCATTTTTATCAGAATTGAGATTGATATTGGACTGTGATTTGTCAGACCATGCCACATCATCATGTTGGTTCTCATTTTTCTTTGAATTCAGAAACCTACCACCACATCCTCTTGCTCTTTTCAGTGCATGCAAATGTCGAGATTCATGCAAGTAGGGCTGCAAGATTTGTTTAAAGAACAAGTAAGTACCTCCATTGAGGAAGGAATGCTCCGATGCAGGGAAGCATGAGAGTAAATTAATCTATGGGGGCACAAAATCAATAATAACATCAAGAAGCTAGCAGCTTACGACAACAACCACAACACAACTTCCAATATCCTTCTTCCCTTTTCCTCATTTTTTATGAGTAAACCCTCAATTTCGTCCTCAAAAGATTAGGGTGCTGCCACTTTATTCCTCCAAAGATTTTTATCACCAAATTAGCCCCTCAAAAATTAAAGTATCACCAGATTAATCTTCCAATTTTTATTTATTTATTTATTTTTACCAAATTAGTCCGCGAAACATACAGAATTGTCACCAAATCCATCCATATGAAGAGTTAAAGTGGTGACACAAAAGGACGAATTTGGTGACAAATTTGTATGAGTAAGCCCTCAATTTGGTGATAACTGTTACCAAATTTGTCCTTCTTCCCTTTTTCCTTTTTTTCAACGAGAGCAAACCCTTAATTTAGTCCTTCAAAGATTAGTCCTCCAGATATCCTGTCACCAATTTAGTACATCAAAAATTAAAATGTCACCATATTACTCTTCCAATTTTTATTTTTATTTTTTACCAAATGAGTCCCTCAAAGATACAAATTTGTCACGAAATTCATCCATATGAAGTACTAAAGTGGTGATACAAAAGAACGAATTCATTTCTTTTTTATAATTTTAATTTTTCTTAATCAACTTTTGGCATCATTAGAAAGAAACTTAACAGATACAAGGAATGATATACCTTCCGATTCCTTATAACTTTATTTTCTGATTCAGCTTTGGCACGGGATTGTCTACGTCTTAATATACCATGATATTGTTTTGCATTAACAAACACAGGCTCCTCAACTGCATCAGTTGGCAGAGGAACACCGGCTTGCTGAATTCCCATTAATTGAAGATGGACCTGGCACAAGATATGGTTCAATAATTGGAGGATCATAAAAAGATTTTCACAAGAAGCCACCACACAATTACAAAAATCAACATTAAAGAATTAGAGCAAACCATTTGCTGTCCACTATAGGGTTGGTGGGGATAAGGTTGTGTATCATAGGGAGCAAAGATGCTTCTATAGTAAGGATCGGGATATGGATACACAGGTGGTACCTTCAATTAGGAAAGAAAGCAACAAAAATCAGTAAATTGAATAAAAAGTTCACATTCTAAAATTGAAAACCAAAAACAATGTCCCAAATAGATCACATATCCCCCCTGCCCTTTAAAGTAATTCAATTGCCTGGCCAAGTGAACCAGATCCCTAAGCTATAATTTTTAGTGCAAGCGGTAATTCTGAACAAACTTCTTACTTCTTTAATATTATATTTTAATAACAACTGACACTTCAGTACTTGCTCAGGCATCATTCATTTACCTTCAATAGCCACAATATCTAAAGAAATTTTATCTATACAGAAAAACTTCAGATTGCAACGTAACTCATTATTTATTATTCGCCAGACCAGAAGCCTTAAAGTCTTCTTAGGCCAAATTAAGTACTGATAAGAAAAGCAGTAGCTAATTATTATAAGATCAAGAAATATCTGGCATCCAGAACTCCTTTCATAAAATAGCTACCTTTAAATTTGCTTGTTGTAGCACATGGGGAAAATCCCACCTTCACAAATCAAAAAAGGATTGAAAAGAGCCAATTTACTGGTAATAAGAAGAATAAACCAGGGAAAAAAATTTCATCATGATTTGATAATCTTCAAAGTCAATTTGCTTCAGTGACAAAATAATGGTCATGTGTGTCTATATCTTATACCAACAACAGGCAATATACATCGGATGGTATCCAATGCCTATGACCTATACAAAACAAAACATTCTTTTGGATTTCTAGAATTAAGTATTAGTATGCTGATTCAATGAGGACTGTGGATGTCAAATCCTTGAAGAAACATATTTTGCTATTCAAGACAAAATCAGAAGAAAGCCCGAAAACCTTGAAGTTCATACCATAGCATGCCCGGTTCCAAGCTGGCCAGGTGTGGCATACTGAACATTCTGAGTAACAACACCTGGATCAGAAATTTCATTTGCAGATGAAGTCTGCATTTGTGAATTTGACTGCTGCTGCCCATCCTCTTCATTATCTGGACAAACATCTCATTACATAAGTTCATGTAGTACTTTTGTGCTTGGGATGGGGTGAAGGAACCAGTAAAATGCATCAATTTAAGAAAACACCAAACTCCAGATAGGAATGACTTAAAAATCAACCTAGTGAATAAAGGTCTAAGAAGCAAGGAATAGTAAGAGATTGTCATATATATAGTTTGAAGTGAACTTTTCTGCCCAAATCTCTCAACTATTAAACAGGTGAGCATTTATAATTTCATTCCTTTCTTCTTTTTACATTACATATCTTATATTTAATGCACTCTTCTTGAGCTAAAAGAAAATTTCCTCTGTTACATAACAGGATGATGTTGCTTCAAAATCCTGCACTCTTAAACTACTACTTGGAGAATCTTTCAAAAATTAGCCAAAGGAGGGTTAATTCAATAAATCAGTCGGGAAAACAGAGAATCATAACAAAGGTGGAGAAAGAAATACACGAGGCAGAGAGAGGAAAATAACAAAAGAAAGAAATAGTGTACATTCATAGTTTGTACAGTACACCACATTCACATAATAAGGTTTAGAACCTAGAGTACACTAGAATCATCGAGGGCAAGATTCTACTATAGTAAACAACAAAGCAATGACAATCAGCATATTTTGTAGGTTGGAAAGGCGACCAGTGCATGAGTTACTTAAAAACTGAAATGGTTAAGAATAAGACGAGAATGAAACCAAAAAAGTTTTGAAGTTCAGATTATGAAGCTAAAATAAGATACTTTAACGTTTGAAGATAGAACTATACAAAGCTGTGTGCAAAAATCTAAAAGCTAGGATATCTTGATTGCAGTTCCTAGGCATGACATCAAATGGAAGATGCTTTTCAGAAATCCAGCAATCACAATTACGCACAACATAAAGTTTATAAAAATAGATAAGGTATGAATCACTTCATGCAGCTTCTGTGCAAGAGTACGAGATCAATGACTTGCACGATAAAAAAAGCCTTGGGCTAATTAAAAAGCTGGGGAGCTATAGATCTATGATACTGAGTGGTTAATATCATGACAAATTAACGATTTTTGTGATGCAATCAATACAAAAAGGGTAACATGCAATTTAGTCATTGGCCAATGAATTGTGGCCAGAGAGTATAAGTTGCTGGATAGTAGTGGAAGAAACATGAGTTTCTATGTGAATTAAAAGCCTAACTTTCTGTTCCTAAAAATTATCATTTTTCTTTAAGATATTTATACCATTTCTTATGATTTTGACAGGAATTAGATTTCACTGCACTCACAACAGTAGTCATGCATCTTTCCCATCTTAAAGTATACTAATTTCTGTTGAATAGAAATTTGTCCATTAACAATGCCATTATTAGACACAATAAATATCAATGACATTTTTACGTAGTTGGTTAACTAAACTTGGCATATGAATGTAATGCAATCATTACGAATTGAAAAGTTACAATAAAATAATAAATTGGATAAAAGAATTTATTTATGTAAAATACCAGTAAGGTCATGAGCAGAGGTCATGATTCCCTAAACCTTGTGCAACACAGTACCCAAACCTGGAAGCAGAACAAACATTGTTAACAGAGCCTTACTTAAGTAAATGGCATCTTAAGTATGTAGTAAATGGCAACTTGCTCAATATGCTCATACGCTCATACCTTATACCAGTCATTATAGGCTAGAAAAGTAAATGGCATCTTAAGTATGTAGTATTTTAAAGTTGATATTTGAAAATTTACTTTCAACTTAAGAGAGCCTTACTTCTAGTCTCTAGATCAACAGTTTAAGGCCCAAATGTCACTTACATATATGGACAAAGTACCTCTTATAATGACTAGGCGATCCTCACCCCTTGAGCTAGCTTTAGGGTTTGAGTTAGGCTCGGTTCTCAATTCTAATATGGTATTAGAGCTATCCCAATCCTGATGTTGGGCCACCCGAAAATGTCCAGTCCCACAAACTTCATACTCTAGAAATCTAGTCCTGGGCATAAGGGCGGTGTTTTAAGATCCCACATTGGTTGGGTATATGGGCAAAGTACCCCTTGTAATGACTTGGCAATTCTCTCCCCTCAAGCTAGCTTTTGAGGTTGAATTAGGCCCAGTTCGTTCTCAATTCTAACAATAACAAGTGTAGCATTATAAAAGTTAGATTCCATGAGTTTAAAATAGTAATAGAGCCATGAGATTTGAAATTTAAAAAAATTTCAGTCGGAAGGTACTTCAACATCCTCGGTAGTCTGCACCACTCTATCATATCATGATGATGATAAGATCTAAAGTTTTTTTAACAATCATAGGAGTATTATCATGAAATTCACACTGTTTAAGTAAAATCCAACTTTCCCATTCCTAGTGCTCATATAAACAATTGATTCTGAATCTCAAGTTGTAATCAGGTGTGCAAACAAAGAAAAGGGAGCAGAAAAAAAGACATACATCAAATTACATAAGAGAAACACAAAAACAAAATTCACTCTGACCATGAAGATCACATGGTGTAGCCACTCAACAGTCAAACCCTAATCCCGATACACCCAAAAACTCAATTTTATTGAGATTGGCCACAGTCCAAGACCCAACTACTGATTTTACAATATATATAGGTCTTGGTCCCTTTCCTTTCACCACAAATCTCTTTGGAAAATCATTGTATGGTCACTACAGGCTTTTTAGTTGGCTCACATGTCAATAAAAGCCACTTCATAACATCCCATTACTATTCAATGAAAATCTATTCTTCTCTTTCATCCTCTTATTTGCAAAGCAATTATGACAGTACTTTACAATTTTAACCTATAATCTGGTTTTCAACTATTTGACATAAAATGCAATGTACTTCTTAGTTGGACTCCCAGCTCAAAGAACATCCTTCAGAACCAGAAATTCTACTAAATAATACAGACAGATTGGCAGAAGTTTTGCATGATCCATGCCATGACCCTTCATTTAGGGTTAGTTCTTTGTAGACACCTACATTAATACATAAAACAGGATGACTATTTATGCACAATTCACAATCATGTGCGCTCAGCAGCATTCATTCCTTTTTCCGAATCAAGACCAGCATTCTTTCAAGTAGCTAAATTTCTTAAATCATCATCACACAACTAAAATATTCCCCAGATCATATAAGTTTCATTACGAAGTTTTATATGGGCATTTACTATATGCATGCAAGTAGAAATTAAGGCGAATCCTTCATGCAAAACAAAAATCGACATTCATTCTTCACAATAAGTTGTAACCTGATAAAAAGAAAGAAAGAAAAAAAATCAGTGCATAGTTTTACTCAAATTTCAATACAACCAGAGAAAGAGAGAACAGAACATCTGAATACCATCCTAACAGGGGAATTCAACTAAATTAACAGCTCAGGATAAACACCAATCGAGCTAAGAATTCCAAATTTACAAGCAAACCCAGCGAGAGAGAGAGAGAGAGAGAGAGAGAGAGAGAAAATCACTCTTGGCGTCCATTACCTAACTCCAAGAAGCTCAAAATCAAAGATTGCAAGCATAACAATCCACACGAACACAAAACAAAGAGGTTCGTAACAATCCCAACGAACAAATGCATCTTTCTATTCTAATTACCCATTCGATTTGAATAACCATGAAAAATGAAAATTAACAAACAGTAAAAAAAAAATAATAATAATAATAATAATTCTGGGAATATTAAAAACAGACAAGTTCCAAAATCAGAAAACGAGTTTAATTTTTTTGGTTCCTTCAGCTCAATTGCACGGAAGAAAATGGAAATTGGAAGAGAAATAGGGTTAGAGATTGGAAATTAACCTAGCAGCAGTTGAATTGAATTATTGTTGTTGTTCTTCACCTTAGATGCTCTTCTGTTACCACTGTGTGTTGTACCCACACTGGTACAGGTACTACACTGCCCCTCCCTATTTACAAATTATTATTTACTTTCCATCATATATGAACCACAAAAAATGGTTTCATTTTTTTATTCATTATTTTGGTTATATATAGTTTTAATTGTTAAAATATTTTTATTGAAAGATATAAAAAAAAATAACAGCTTCAGATTTATTTATTTGTCTAAATGAGATTTTTTCGTTATATCGTGATGTGCGTATCAAAAATAGTTTAGCTTGGGGCTCATTTATTTTATTTATTTTTTCTAAAAAAATATGTTGAAAAAGATTTTTTTTATGACAATTAAAAAAACATTTTTAATATTTTTATTAATTAGAAAGAATAATCATTTTTAACCCATGTAAAATTGATTAAGTAAATATCTACATGTAAGGACGGAATTAGAGAAAGATTAATTTAGGAGCCTTAGTGAATTTCTTTTAGTCACACCAAGTTACAATTTTTTTTCAAAAACACGGTTGAGGAAAAAAATCGATGCCTAATTTTTTTTTAATATCATCCGTCAATTAATTAATTATTCGATTAATTCGATTCAAACTAAAAATATCACATGTTTGTCTTAACAAATTTTAATACAGTTGCCCGTATAAATAAAAAATGAGAGGGGAATCATAGTATTTTTACTTTTTTTTAGGAGATCAAGTTTGAAAATTGAAATTGGGGATTAAGGTCCCCTCAGTATCACATACAGGAGAATTATTGTAATGCTTTCCTAGCACATTCCACTTTTTGGGAAGGATTGTTGATTTTATCAACCATTCTAATTGTCAGCGGGTCAATGTCAATCATTATTAATGAATTAAGTTAAACCAATCTTAATAAATGAATTTGACATTATGTATTACCCAAAATCTTAAGATATTAAAAATATGGATCATTTCAGTATATAGATTATTACCGACTCATATTATATTTACATTTGAATATCTTAACCGTAATGACGAGGAAAATTTACACATATTTTAGGCTTGCTAATTTCCAAAATAAAATTGTTTATTATATGTTGGCTGAGATAATAATTGCCACGTCATTTTTAAATATTGTAAAAAAATCCTTTAAATTATTAGGATTTAGTAATGATGTTTAAAAAAAAGAGTAAACACTTTTTTTGGTTCTTAGCAATATTAGCGAAATCCATTTTAGTCCCTGACAATATAAAAGTACCAAATTGGTCCCTAAAGTTATGAAAAAAGGGCCACGTCAGTCCTTCTGTCAACTCCTCCGTCACGGTCAAACTAACGGTGCCCATGTGGCATGTTATCTGCTGACGCGGACTCCACGGTGGACACGGTGGAAAGTTGGACGACGACGGTGGACACCCATGGAAAGCACGACGTCGTTTTACTTGAATCCAATTAATTGATAAAACTCAAATAATGAACCCTAAAATTGAAAAAAACCCAAATGCCTTCAATCGAACCCTAAACCGGAAACTCCATCCCCCAAATTGATGAGCAAATCTGTAAACAGCAAAACGCCCCCAGAATGTTTGCACTTTGATGATTGAAACTCGACGAAAGACATTAAGCCATCAACCGGATTTCTGGGCGTGGGATAAGATGAGTGTTTCTTCTGGCATGGGGGGGTCAAGTGGGAGTAAATCAATGGGGGAAAGAACAATGGCAAGGACCACTGGTTGGAGGTGCAAATGTGGGAGACAAAGTATTGTCTATACCTCCAAAACTGAGAGGAACCCAAACAGGGCTTTCCTTGGGTGTCTTAGCTTCAAGGTACGAATTTGTAATCTGCCCTTTTATTGAGTTGGAACACTTGCTAACCATGGTGTTTATTTCTTTCAAGAGAAGAAGCCCTACTGTGATTTTTTTAGATGGGTAGATGACATGTGTAATGAACCCATGGAACTGGAAGAAGCAAGAATTCACACTGTGGAGTTGGATGTTGCTGAAATGAACTTCAAGTTGAAGTATGTGGAGATGATTATGAGAGAGCAAGATGTGAAGATTACTGAGCAAGGAATGAAGCTTCATCAGCAGGAAAGAAAACTGAATGATGTATACCTGAAGATGGTGGAGGAGTTAGATAGGATGGACAAAAAAATTAGGACAGTTGATAGGTCAGCTAGGGTCTTAGGTGCTTGTGTTGCTGTGATAATGATCTGTATGTTTGTTGTTAGTGTGGTAAAAGTGAAAACAAGTGACCCAAAGGTATTTTTCCTTCAGTGAATTGTAATGAGTACTCTTTCTTTATGTTATTCAAATTATGTGTTAGTTCCAATCTGTTTGTGTGTATTATCATATGGCCTAATTAGATTACTACTGATAGAGATGCATAACTCATGAATTGCACATACAGAAGTTGCATACTGATATGCGTAATGTTGTTATCGATTGCAAAACACGAGGGCCATTTAGGTCCCTGGCAATGTTACTCGAGGCACATTATGGTCCCTGACAAAATGCACGGGGGACTAATTGGTCCCTAACTTATTGCATAGTTATGCATGGAATGAATAAGCCATGTACAGATATAGATGCATAAATCATGAAATTGCTGTTATAGAAGTTTCATATTTAAAAGGGCCATAGTTGTGCACCAGGGCAAAATAAATACTGCCATATTGGCCCCTGACAAATGGCATAAGGACCATTTTGGTCCCTAACAAAATGCACGGGGCCCTAATTGGTCCCCAAACAGATCAAAATAGTCACATTTCAAAACAGATGTTGTCCAGTACAAGTTCAAAACATAAGACACATTTCAGTTACAGATGATGTCCAATATGTCCAAACATAGGACAAAATAAAAAAATAGTCCAAAATTAAACAGATGATCAGAAATTAAACAGATGATCAGAAAAACAGATGATCAGAAAATTAAAAATTAAAAAACAGGAAAACAGTAGTGCATAATAACATGCATCAACCCTGCATCATTCATCAGCCATCAACCAAAATAAATGGCACTTAACATGCATGTATAGAATATAACCAGTATCCACAATAATTGTCCTCGTAGAACTACAAAACAGTAGTGCATTACAAATAAAAGCCAACTAATAGGAATCATAAGTGAGGCCTATAAATACAATCTTGGCCATGCATCAAAATGATTACATTATATCTGTAAAAGGCCTCCAAAAAAAATGGCCAGAATGTACAAAAAAAGGCATTATATCCACTCATTTTCAGTTGGCTCATGCACTACTCCTTTGTTCTTCTTCATCAGCAGCTCATTTTCTTGAGGATCGCCTTGGTGGCATAAAACCAGGTGTTGTCATAAAGTGCATAAATCTGCTTCGTGTGCCAGTGTTGGCTGCCTTCATTGTCTCTTCAGTCAACACTGCATTTGCTTCTTCTGGATTTGAAGGAGGTGGGCTGCATCCTCTCAAGTTGACTTGTTGTGCCTGAGAACTACCAATTTCTGACGGGCCTCCTTGACTTAATGGGATTTCATTTACTGAGTCTGTGTCAATCCTCACAGATTGTGGTCTTGCTTGGCTCTTGTCTGTTTTGGAAGCTGGTGGCCCCTTACAACTCTTGCCATAGTGTCCAGTCTGACCACACTTACTACACTTGGCTTCATATGTCCTTTTAACTTTCTTTGTCATGCTCCCTTGGTCTTCAGTTGGGTCCTTCTTCCTGTGTTTCTTGGGTCGCCCAATTGGCCTTTTCAGTTTTGGTGGAAGAGGTTTGGGTTCATCAGATGCAGGCCAATACTTGTCCGAGTTCACTGGGTTTAAGGTGTGCTCATATGTGGCATGCAATGCATCAACTGTAAGCCATTGATGGACATAGTTCTCGGCTGGCTCGTTTTTGTGACAAATTGCTGCTATAACATGCTCACAAGGCAGTCCAGTCAACTGCCATACATTGCATGCATATGTATGTGTTGTTAAATTGACTCCAACTCTATCACCTTTCTCACTGACCTCATACATATCTTGCTGCAGATTTCCAGTCCAAGTGGGTGTCCATGAATTGCTAAGAACCTTTAACTGATCCAGTTTCAATTGCTGAGCAGGAGCTATTTTACCCCGAACAGTTCCTAACACCCTCTGATGTGCAGCCATCCTCCTCATAATGTAGCATCTCAGTTCCTCCAATAGAGTGATAATCGGTTTTGACCTATATCCAACGATCTTGGCATTCCATACCTCTGCCATGTTGTTTGTGATATTATCACATTTCGGCCAGTGGCTGAAATAAGCTTTCACCCAACTTGAGGGCTGGATGCCATCCAAGTACTTCCATGCAGCCTCATTCTTTACTTTCAACCGTGCCATGCATTGCTGGAACTGGGGGACAGTGGTGCATCTTGAACACTCCCAAACCATGGCTCGAATTGCCTTGTCTTTCCATTGCTTTATGAAATTCTTCCAAACGTGTTGCACACAAAAACGATGATATGCACCAGGCATCACCTCTTGCAGTGCTGGAATCAGCCCCTACACACAGACACAAAAAAAGGTATCACAAAAACATATATAGATTGCCACAAAGTGTTGCTGACTTAAATAGACGAGGATCAATTAGGTCCCTGGCAATTTCCCTCGAGGGTCGTTATGGTCCCTGACAAATTGCACGGGGGACTAAATGGTCCCTGACATTAACAACAATGCACTTAACATCAGAAATGCACTTAACGTCAGCAATGCACTTAACATCAGCAATGCAGTAAAAAATGCAGTTTATGTAATCATGTAAATGCAGCATTGGCAAAAAAACCAATAAGCAATACACTGAATGCAAATACAAAAAAACCAATAACTAATAAGCAGGTAACAGAAAAAAATCATTCAACAAATAACTGAATAACCAATAACCAAATGTATATTGACTGAAGAAAAAAATCAGCAAACAAATATGTGGCTGAATACTAAAGCAAGTTGAAATGAAACAAGCTTAACACACCTTCTGTTGGTCAGAAATAAAATTTCATCCAAACACTGCGTGAGGGCCAATGTCTTCCTGTAACAGGGTTAAAAACCACTTCCAGTTCTCTTTTGTTTCACTATCAACAACTGCATATGCAATGACATAGAAACTTTTGTTGGCATCCTCCCCAACTGCACTTAACAATTGACCTCCATAATATCCTTTCAAGAAACATCCATCCAAACCAATTAAGGGCCTGCAGCCAGCTTTGAACCCTTTCTTGCATGCATCCAAACAAATGTACAACTTAGAAAATATGGGAGAGGAGTTCGGATCAGGTTGTGGGATCACTTGCATTTGACATGTAGACCCTGGATTGCTTCTCAATAGCTCACCTAAGTAGTCTCTCAATTTTGCGTACTGTTCTTTTTCACACCCTTCTATTTTGGCCTTGGCTTTCTGAAGTGCTTTGGTCACTTTCTTCAAATGGACATGAACTTTGTACTCCTCTTTCATGTGGTCGTAGGCCTCAGCCCTTGTCATGTTCGGCTGTGTCATTAGCCTTTTTTCTAACTTCTTTGCAACCCAATCCCTACTTGCCATCTTGTTTCTAAAAAGTCTGCAGCAAGTGTGGATGTTATTAAAAGTCTTGATTTGGAAAGCTTTCATTTTGTTGTTCCACGAACAGTAAATCATCCAATCACATTCATCATTACTACACTTTGCTCGGGCCTTCACTTTGTCATTCTTCAGCCACTTGAATTGTCTTCCTAGATCAATATTGTAGTCTTTGACAACATTTTTAAATAATTGAAGACTCACAAACTCCATTCCTACCTCTAAGTGTACATGACCAAACTCCTCATGCACATTAAATTTTGGATTGACAACCTTTTCATCCTCTTCAGCACCACTTGAAGGAGGCGTGTTCAACTCTTCAGAGTTATACCCATACCCACCCTCCTCGAATGACATTGACTTCTCATCCTCTTCCATTGTATTTTCCCCTGCCAACTCTTCAACCTGCTTTTTTTCTTCCTTTTTTGCTTTTTTTTTTTCGACAGCTTTACCCTTCCCCTTGCACTCCTCTTCACTCTCTGTTTCTGTATCATACATAGGTGGAGGAGGTTTTTATGCCTCATCCTCCACACTATCTTCTGAATCAGTAGAAAACCCATGACCACTGCCACTATCATCCTCATCACCATCACTGCCACCCTCATCCTCCAACCCATCACCACTGCCACCCTCATCCTTCTCTCCACCACTGCCACCCTCATCCTCCTTCCCACCACTGCCACCCTCATGTGCATGTGCAATAACTTCTTCCGGTGAAACATAGACAGGGGTTGCAATGCAATCTTCAAAATAAATTTCTATGAGATTGCCATTACTCAATGTAGCCTTGACCATCTCCACAATATCAGCGTCCGTATTCAAAGGCCTTAAACCTACGTCTAAATCCGTTGCGTTTGGCATGAGCCACAACATTTGCTTACACGTCTCATACCCATAACCCTTGAACAGAGTATCAAGGTCACGCAGGTTGACGAAGTCAGCATCCATCTCAGGTAAGTCAACCATTTTTCCATTTACATAGGTTAGGACCCCTTTATCATCTCTCTTCAACACACCCCCATGATGATACCTTATCACTATGTATTCATCCATCTGAAAAAAAAATCAACACAGGGCTGTAAATTACAATAAATTCATGCGAACATCAGGGTCCACAAACCAATTTAAAAAATGGCAATAACCATATACATCAAACTCATCACTGCCGAGAGGGGGGACAAGCCAATAACGTGGAAAAAAATTGCACCTTTACAAATTATGCATGCACTAAAAAATTGGTGACCACAATGCACTAAAAATGGCAATATACTTTACAAACCGGTAGTGAAAGGGACCACATACATAAATGGGTATTTTTTTTTAAACCCTAACCATGATAACTCACAATGGAGCGCACATGGGGGACCATCCTCCAACAAAGAATAGACAACATGAGGTGAGGGGGGACCACAAATATTGAAGATTTTCTAAAAAAACACTTACCTTACTGCATGTAAGAAAACCAGCAGACTCGAACTTCCATTCACCACCACAAGACCAGCCTTTCGACAACCTTCAAAGTCCACGCTCGATTGCCTTCCCTGCAACCACCGTCTTCGACAACCCTCATCGTTCAACGAAGCTTCCAGTGGAGGTCAACAATGGTCTTCCAATCATATGCAATAACTTAGTGAAAAAAACGAGTCTCCACGGTTACTTGTAGTGTTGGTGCCTCTTGATTTCTCAAGAATAAAACGACGTTGTTTGGTCCTTTGGAAAGCTTTGCAATCCTTTTGATTCAAAATGTCGTCGTCCAACTTTCCACCGTGTCCACCGTGGAGTCTGCGGCAGCAGATAACGTGCCACATGGGCATCGTTAGTTTGACCGTGACGGAGGAGTTGACAGAAGAACTAACGTGGCCCTTTTTTCATAACTTTAGCGACCAATTTGGTACTTTTCAATTGCCAGGGACTAAAATGGATTTTGCTAATATTGCTAGGGACCAAGAATGGTGTTTACTCTAAATTTTACTATTTACAAGACAATTTGGTATATAAATGCCAAAAATATAGCACATTGATCACTGTTCCCATTCTCACTTCTCACTCTTTCGGTGATTTAGCAGTATGGTTTGCGGCTAGGACTGAAAAAAAAATTCATTTATTTTCCCCCTCGATTTTGGATAAACGTTAGTGCAAAGAAGAGTGAACTGGGTGTAGAAATGAGTACTGAATTATAGAGGTTTGGTTATGGTTTTGAGCATTGGGATATGTGTGGAACATTATGATTTTTGGGTGTTGATTTACGGAACTCCAAGGATTGGTTATTTGTTTTGCATGAAGTTTGGAATTAATAAATGTGATGCGCCTAGTTTGTATTTGAACATTTAGGCTCTGTTTTTAGTTTGAGGTAACCATTTGAATTGGAATTCATTGAGCTTAGGATTTAAATATTATTCATTAGATGTATCAATTCAAGCCTTTTTGGCCCATATAGGCTAGTTTGCTGTTATTTTAGTTAATTTTGAGCCTGAATAAAAGATTGTGGACTAGTAAATAATTAGCCAATTGTAATTCTTTGTAGGCGACGAGTGGCCGGGTTAATCGTTGGTCCGAAATGTTAAATTTTGTAAAGTTTTCTTAAATTTTATTTATTTATTTATTATTATTGGTATAAACCATAAAATATCCGGTTGCATGAGGATCCAATGATTCAAATTTAAATTGGGCAAAATCACGTAAAGGTAATAAAGTTTTTCTCACTAAATTTTTTCCTATAGTTTAAATCCCAATGATATCAACTAAAACGAAAAACATTTTATTTGTGACAAAAATTTTCGTCACAAATTTTGTCACAAATGACAATTTTTGATACAAATAATCAAATTTCGTCACAAATAAATTTGTGACTCAGGAATTTGTGACGAAATTTCATAAGTAGTGACGAAATTTCCGATACTAATAAGATTTTTTCTTGTAGTAAAGGTAAAATCATTTAGGTATCATATAAATTGTTTGATAATATTTCTAATATAATAAATTATAAATTGGGCTATCAAGCTAGCTCCACCCAACTTATATTTAGGCTCGACCAAACTCGGATAGGGATAAGTTGAACCAAATTATATTTAGACATTAATTTGTCAGATCAACTAGAATATTTTATGAAGCTATTGATCAACCTATCGAATTCGACTTATTTTGACATTCGTATTGTTCATCTATTATTGTTGGTGAGAGACTTGAATTTTTGGTACAGATCGGGTTTTTGAAATGATTTGGGATTTGTGGTTGCTGAACTTGTTAAGAGGGTGAGAGGGATGATGTTTCCCTTAAAGGGTGAAATAGAAAAATATAACAATGATTGGTGAGACAACAGTGTGAACTATAGCTCAAAAGTGGTTATCGTTGAAGTATCAAGAAAGTTGAGGATCAAGGGACAGGTGATTGGGCTCGGTTATGATAGGTGAATGGTAATTAATAGTTTCAACAAGGAGAGCAATAGTGAAGAAGAAAAATCTTCCGAGGAGAAATGAGAATATCTATGGCAAAAGAAATATTCTCTTAGCATGAATACTGTGATGCCATAATCATTTTCCAACTTTTCATGTGTGATGGCCATTGGTTGTTACATAGTAGCAAATTTTCTTGTTAATTTCATCCTCCCCTTAGTGATTTGATTGATAAGGGCCTGTTGGGTAAAGCCAAACCAAGCAGTGTTTTAAAACTTGGACCGGTCATTGAACCGGTCGAGGTACTGGGTCACTGGGTCACTGGTTCAACCGGGTTGAACCGATTTTACTGCTCACATGTTAAAAAAATAAAAATATTACTTATATTAATAAAAATTCACATAAGAAAACTATCTATGAGTTTGGTTTTCAATGATAGCAAATATTATATACTTCTAAGCTTCTAGCTCTAGACCGTTGAGATGAGATCATGAGACCATCAGTGTTTATCACCACTTAACTTCATGAGATCATATTATAAGATGCAACTAAATTACATAAACGAACTACACTAATCTAAAATACGTTATTATTTTCACCTTACTTTTAATCATATTCATCAAAAAATATGAATATGATTTAATTCAAGAGTTCTTATCAACAAAAAAAAAAATTTACCAAAAAAAGAAGAAGGAAAAACCGGTTTAACCAGAGTCAACCGAGTCGTCGGGTCGCCAAGTTTCGGCCGGGTCAACCGGTCCAATTCGGGCTGACTGCATAACCGGTCTAACTACCCGCTCGGATCAGGGAACCCACCGGGTCACCAAGTCCCGGGTCGACCTGGCCGGTCCGAGCCGGGTTTTAAAACACTGAAACCAAGGATCAGGCCAAAAAGAGGCAATTCTCCCATCTCCCACAAGAAGGAATCACTAAGCTTGTTGCACCTTTGTTTGTTGCATTTGATAAAAAGGAATGCTCTATAGAACTGATTGGGTCAAGGTACCCCCTACCAGGGAGTGACAAGCACTGACCTAGCCATCCTTTGAGACGAACTCTGAATCTATCTATTACCATGTTGACCAAGTCACGACTGACTCTCCCATGTTGCGGGTGTTTGACCAGTTTGGTACTATTTGCAATTAAATATACGAAATTGGTATCTCAATGGAAAAAATTACCGCTTGGGGTTATTAAGTGCCGCGGGGGTATCCTCGCGTATTTGAATGACGCCCCCATACACCGCGACACTTTTGTAATTTTTTTTTTCTGGTAACTGTCCCACCCCCACCCCCCATCGGCATTGAATGTATGATCTCATACAAAGTATCCAAAACTCCTCATTATTATACCAATCCTCACAAAATTTACGTTTCTTATATCTCAAAGGGAGAAAAAAGCTCAAGTATAATAATGAAGGGGAATGTCCAATTTGCACAGAAATGGCATTCTTAGGTGGAAGCTTAGAAATAAAACTAGCACACTGATTGGAACGCAAGTTCAAATATACTCATATGACGTTTCTTTTCTGATTAAATGCAAATTATGAGTTTAGTTATCAGTCAAAAGTAACTAATATAATAGAAATCAAAACCAAGCATTGGGATAAAAATGATGTGCACAATGCTTATATATATATATATATATATATAACAAGAAGTTAAATTTAGCAGAACCTACACGCAATTCTTTATAACTACCGGAAAAAAAACGCATTCTTTTGAAAAAGCAACCTTAAGTGGTTTGAAGACGCTTCAGTTAGAAAACAATCAGCACCCTCTGGTAAGAAACATCAAAGGAAAATCCCAAACCTGCAGTACCTGTGATTATTCTGTGACAGAGACTTTAGGGTTTTCAAGTCAAAAACCCGTTTCCACTAAACCCAAATTCGAAGTGATAGAGGCCTCGTCTGCTGGTGGTTGACGGCGAAGGTGGCTCCCATGAACGAACGGTGGCGGAATGAATGAGTTACCTGACAATGTTGTCCCTCTCAACGCGGATCCCTTTTACTTTTTCCCTCTCAACTGCAGCCTGTGATTTCCCCCCTCTCTTCCTTTTCCCCTTGTTTTTTCTCCCCTAACTAAACTCAGCGTCGCTTTCAGAAGTTCAAAAACGTTTTCAGAAAATCCCAAACTCAGCGTCGCTTTCAGAAAATCCCAAACTCAGCGTCTTCTTCCTTTTACTTTTCGATTCGCTCTGTAAAAACGTTTTTTTTTTATCTAATTGGTGGTGCCAAAGTGGGGCACTTCTCAATAAAAAAAAAAATTAATTAGTGCCGTAAGGGGTGTTATGCGGCACTTGTTTGATTAAAATCAAAAATTTTATTGAGTCTCGTGGGGGACAGCTTGCGGCACTATGCCCGGAAAAAAAAAAATTAAATGACAAGAGTGCCGCAAGGAGTGGGGGGCGTCATTCAGTCTCGTGGGAGACTGGGGGCGGCACTCATTCCGGAAACCAAAAAAAACAAAAAATTACAAGAGTGCCGCAGGGACTGGCTAGCGTCATTTAAATACGCTTGGACCCCCTCCCGGCACTTAACGACCCCATACGATAATTTCTCCTGTTCAGATATTAAATTCATATATTTAAACCCAAAAAATACCAATCTGGTCAAAGAGCCCCATGTTGCATCATGGCACCAAGGTACGTAGCGGCCAAGGTTATGCACCCTTTGAAACCTATAAGCTTTTGTGATTGTATCAGTTGTTTTATTTTTAGAGAAAAAAAAGCTGTACTCTTTTGAATGCTCTTATGCTCTCACGTTGACAATAAATTTCTCCAGGAGACAATGAAGCACTACATTTATTTGATCCGGAGAAGCTTCCGCAAATGACATTAACTCATCTAAAAAACATTGAGAGATTTTGGTACCAACATTTCCCATTGATATTGGATTCCAAGCCTTATTGTGGACAACCAAGTCAATTATATGAGCGAGTTTCTCCATACATATATATCACGAACAAGTCAGGCGAGATGGGGTCTAACTAGGGAATACCTCTTGAAGGACTAAAGGCTTGCGATTTTTCACCATTCGAAAGAAGGTTGATGGTTGTAGTTGTAATTGATAATACCAAGATTTACTTTATAGAGATTAGCTAGGAAGGTGAACTTCATATAATATTCTATCAATACAACCCCAATTTATGCGATTATATTTAGTTATAAATGAGCGATTACCTTTCTTTTTGTCAATTGTATGATCCAATTCTTGAGCAATAATTAAATTGTCTTGGATAGACACCGTTTGGGACAATAGACAAGGGGATATAATATTCATCGTTAGAGGTCTGAACTCTGGAAAACAATCTTACTTAAGGGGGCGTTTGGTTGAGGAATTTTTTTTGGAATAGTAGGGAAATGTAATAGATAGAGAAATGATTGGAAAGATAGATAAAGTGAGATAGGTAGAAAAATGTAAAAAAAAGTTGTTTGGTGGAGAAAAACTTTACTGGAAAAATTATGTAACTTTATGAAATTAACAGTGCATTAAAAGCCAGATAACTGGTTTTTCGAAAAATCCCACCTTCAAATTGGGTTTCTAAACAGTGCGGATATCTTTGTTTCTCATAAATCCATACAAATTAGATAGATGGATTTTTGGTGAAAATACGTTGAAACAAACATGGTGTTTCTAAAAGCCATACTTGAGAAACATAGATATCCGCTGAAAAGTTCCCAACCAAACACCAGTTTTGTTGAATATATAGTATATAGAATAGCCGAGTGCGTGGGACAAAGTTTCACATCGTTTAATTCTTATGTATATTTTCTTTTACTCAGGTATATAGTAGTGCCTTCTGATCGCCTTAGCCCTTATGTTTCTCTCTCATTTAATAAGTTTTATATACAAAGCAATGGAGTGAAATCAGACGGAAGTGAGTCATCTGAGTTGGAGGCTCAATCATAAAACAAAAATTAATAATGTTTAGTGGTGTTCATGTTCTTGATGAGATTACGATTCAACTACATATTTTTTATCGTCGTACAAACTTGATTTTTCACTCTTAACCAATTCCGTTGAAAAAAACAGCTGGAAAACCATCTGCGCCGGTCTCGATACCTCGAGTCACTGATTCAACTGCATGATCCGGTAATTATATGTAATTTTATAATTTATATTAAAAAATTATAAACATACTCAAATATCTAAAAAAATGATAAAAATTTCAAATATTTTAATATAAAAAATAATATATGGCATATTATTATCCAATAAAAGATCAAACAAAAATATAACGATCGTGATATAGGACTTTAGGTTAAGAAAATGACATCTCTAACTATAAATAAAATCAAATTTTTTTGCATAGTGCATAATTGAGATAATATTAGTGTTGTAAGTACATAACTTATGTAAGTCAATAAGTAAAAAAATATTCAAATATGTCCATTATAATTTTTTTGTTGAAATTTTTTTTTAACCGGGCCGAGTCATCGATTAACCAACCGGGTCACCGGTTTTCATGAAAATTGGCCGGTTCAGTCCGGGTCACACAGATTCTGATACATAATCGATCTATTGCTTCAACCGGACCAATTATATGACCAGTTTATCGGTTCCGAAGTCAACCCAGTCAGGTCGGTTCGAATTTCATAACACTGATTGTAACCACCCATATCAAGGCTTTTTGACCATTATAGTCTTTTTTTAATAATTAATTACCAAATTGACCCTATTTATAAACTATTTCAAAAATTTAACCTCTCTAAAAAACATAACACCAATTTGCCCTTGTTTGACCGTTGACCATGAAGCTTACCCTGGTACACCCCTATCTACCCGGTATATTTTGAAATTTTTTACCTACCCGGGTACACACCCCTTCCTACCCGGGTATATTTCTTGAATCTGAAAAAATGTTTGAATTATTTACCCGGGTACAGAGGGGTGTACCCGTGTAAATAACAAAATCTCAGAACTTCGTTGCTCAATCCATATAAGTTCGCTATGAGAACACCTTTAGAATTGTTTTGACATGCAGACGGTTGCTTTTGCTGAAGCTGTGCTTAATTTTCCTTTCTGTGCAGGTACTCTATCACAAAGGCATTTTGCATTGCATTTGTGATGACTTTCTTTAGTGCGTTTGATGTTCCAGTGTTCTGGCCAATACTTCTCTTCTACTTGGTAGTACTATTCACGCTTACTATGAGGAGACAGATATCACACATAATCAAATACAAATATGTACCATTCATGACTAGCTTTTGTTATTTACCCGGGTACACAACCCGAGTAAATAATTCAAACATTTTTTCAGATTCAAGAAATATACCCGGTAGGAAGGGGTGTATCCGGGTAGGTAAAAAATTTCAAAATATACCCGGGTAGGTAGGAGTGTATCCGGATAGGCTCATGGTCAACGATCAAACAGGAGCAGATTGGTGTTATGTTTTCTGGAGAGGTTAAATTTTTAAAATAGTTTATAAATAGGGTCAATTTAATAATTAATTATTAAAAAAAAACTATAGAGATAAAAAAAGCCCCCATATCAAAGATCATTTGCTGGATCTCATAGCTGGTGGGCATTTTGTCTAGGTTTATAACGTCCTCCCCAGCCAGTGTTGGACAACTTGTCGTTGTATCTATCCAAGGCATGTCCACCAACCCTTCAGTGCAGAGATTTTTAAAAAAATGAATCGTCGAATTTCCAAGCTATTAGGATAAGTGAAAGGAAAATAAAAGGACGCGTGGTCTTATCCTTATTTATTGTAAAGTGTTGGATGAGTAAAGACTACGGGAAATAGAAGAGTTATGTAACAGTAATTACAAATTTTTTTTCCTGCACTCACAGCTTTCATCGATAACAGTGCTTTTTTTTTCTTTTTCTTTTTTTAATTCATGGGTCCCACTGAAAGTTGTATATGCAGGAAAATCATCTTAGTTCATGTTACATGACTTTAACATTTCCCAAAGACTTATCCATTTATGTGCGCGCTTTTGGAATCTTTGGGCCTCTTAAATCAAAATTTTGTTGAACTTCAATTTTTTCATGATATTCCGAGCTTTATTCCCAAGAATCCTGGGCTCTAACAAAGCTACCATAGAGGCATGCTGTTTCTTGACAAAAAAATAATGAATTTGCTTTAGGCTTAATGTATTAGACCCCTTTATTATTATATTTTTAAATTGCAATACAAAAATACGAGTTTATATCTGCATATGACACGTGAAAATTAGTATACTAAAACGGTAAAATCTTCCGACTTTACACCATTTTACAATTTTATATTCTAATTGTAAAAATATTGTTTCGAATTCAAAATCTGAAAATGGAGAAAATAATTGGTTGAATCATCCCCTATATAAATCCAACAAAACTCGAAATGAATTAATCAGATTTCTAATGAACTGGTGGAAAATTAAAAATTAAATAAATAAATAAATAAAAATTGACTGGTCAAGATTCCGATTGCTTTAAAAGGTAATAAGGCCCTTAGTCATCACATTTACCCAAAAAAAAAAAAAAAAAAAAGTATAGAACTTAATCACAAGTTTTGGTGAGATGCAAGAGCAAAGAAGCATATTCATCCACAATGATAGCCAATTGCTTTCCCACGCGTGATGTAATCATCGATTCTACTCCTTTAAACAAAAATGCAGTTTCATTCCAGTTCACTATTATGTCGTTCTATATAGTCACAAACAAACAAATTCAACCATCTCCCACCTGATCACACATGGTTTTACAAACTCTTAGGGAAAATTTTATAATATTAAATTAAGACTCAACGTTTCTCCATGGATGAGATAAAATTATATTCTATACACATAAAAGTATGTGTGACTCATATATATTTTTTTTTCTCCAATTATATGTGAGGAGATAAATATATTTTATATAAATATATTTTATCTCCTACAACCTAACAATCATTAAACCCATTAAATTACATGCCGAATGACTTTTATTTTTTTACAGACAGACAAATCTCACCCTCTTTCTCTGTGGTGTGCATCATGTGCACTCAACAAAAAATATTGATAGAGATTGAAGATACAGAGTATTACATACAAAGACACCACCCATAACTATCAAAAAAAAAAAAAAGACACCACTCATGACATTGGTTTGTATTTCTACCTAAAACCAACAAGAAGATCTACTCCTGCTTGTGTATGACCCTGACCCATCTCTCTTTTGTTTCTATAGTTTCACAAAGAATTGGAAAACCAAAGGAAACCCCACATTGTTTGTTACAGAAGAAGTTTCAAAAACAAAAGAATCTCTTCAAATGATGTTTAACCCATGATTGCTATGGAAGGACTATTGGCAACCATCTGATACCCACTTTGATCTTCATTATTTTCTCCCTGGTGATTCTGTTCCATGTTCTCTCTATCAGCATCTTCGGATAATGACTCTAGCTGTTGTGATCTCTCTTCATGACTCCCTACAATATGCATCAATAGCTCTTCGGGCTTTAACTCATTGCCAGAACCAGCTGATCCTGCATCATCCACCTTCTTAGGCTTTCTACTATATATAGCTTCAAGGTGGTGATAATAAGGACACGTTTTGGAATCCTCAGGCTTTCTTTTGTTCTTCTCTTTCATCCTCTTGAAGTATTTGTTTATGTTCTCCCATTTCTCTTTGCATCTCTTGGCACTGCGATCGTAGCCAAGGCTTTTCATTGCCAAAGATATCTCCTCCCAAAGAGGCCCTTTAGACCCATTTCCTTGTGGCTGCAATTCAAGTTGTGTCCTCAACCTTATCAAAGCCTCCACTTCCTCCTTTGGCCATCGCGAGGAACTCATTTGTATAAAATTCCCAACACTAACATTTCCACATTCTTGCTTTTCTAACTCATCGCTGCCACTCCCACTAGCATTTTCTTGCATGCCATTATTTGGAACCTCGATAATTTTCTCAGGAAAGTGCACTCTGAACTTTTTAAGAAAGCCAAGCACTGCTTCATTCTTCGCTGCAACAATTGACCTTTCTTGAGCAAGAAGCTCACGCTCCCTCTTAATTCGAGCCAACTCTTCATTCTTCCATGCTTCCTCCCTCGCCATTCGATCCTGCTCGCACTTCTCCAACACCTCCATGAAATTCCTCTGCATCGTTTCTTGCTTCTCTATCACTTCCCTCATTAGCCCCTCGAAAAATCGTTTAAATTTGCCGGAAGAGGAAGTGGTTGAAATTGAATAGTGCTCTTGTACATGGGTTGTTGGTGAGGTTCTAGTGCTTTCAAATACCTCTACTAATTGTTCCTTAGAGGATGTTTGAGGAGGAGGGGGAAGTGTGTGGCCTTGTAAAGCTTCCAATTGCTCGAAAAAACGATAAGTCTTGCCATTATTGGGTCTGCCACAACGCCCTTCCTTGATTCTCCTATGGTATTTGTAAATGTTCTCAAACTTCTCCTTGCACTTCTTTGCACTTCTATTATATCCTAGCTCCGCTAATTTCCTGAATTAGTGTTAAACTGTTCAAACATGGAAATAACCAAGAAGGACTATGTGGTACTAAAAGGAATGAGCCAATTAAGAAGGATGAGGTTTTAGTGGGGGGAAAAAAATGAAGTGATTAGTGAGGATTTCTAAGGGGGAAAGAATAAAAAACTGACCTTGAGACTTGTTCCCAGAGAGGTGCTTTGGGGGTGATATCTCTGAAAGCAACGTCCATTTCAGACCTTATCTTGAGCAGAGCCATTGTTTCCTCTCGAGGCCACCGGTTCGCGGTGGAATTCCGATCACCCTCTTCGCCGTGCTCCGCTTTGAACCCATCGGAGACTAGCTCACCACTGGCGGTACTACCACTCTCCCTTACCTGTGGGTTGTTGATAGGATCTTCTGGTAAAGTTGAGATTTCCAGCATCAGTTTCACCGAATTACAGCTAAGAAACTCTTGGGGTGGGGGCAAAAGTTAAAATATGATGGCGGAAATCGCAAAAAGGAAAAAAAGAAGGGTAATTTTGAACGGGTTGTTATGTTGTGTACATGTGTTGTGTTGTTGTATTGATTCGAGAGGAGCTCGTACTCTTTGTTTTATTTTAGTTCTACTTCGACCTTCGACCTTCTAGGCTTCTACCATACCATTATTGTTATTCACAAGTGAAACAAAGTTTTAAATTTAAATAGAATTAAAATGGGTGAGAATGGGATGAATGATAGCTACACCTATCAACAAGGAGACATCTCGTTGGGTGATGGAATCATTACAATATTTGGCACTTGTCTAAGTTTTGACATCTTGCAATTGCATGCACGAGCCAAATTAAAATTTGACAGCTACGGTCAATATTTGTGGGCTTTTCATCCTTTCTCTCTTTTCTTGTTTTTTTTTTTTTTTTTAACTTTCCACTTGCTGGCTTTACTAAGAGGCACTGACGGCCCGTTTGGATGAGCTTTTTTTCTTCAAAAACTGCTTTTTTTCAAGAAAAAAAGCACTTTTCGTTTTTAATTCATTTGGATGTCTGCTTTTAAAAAAAGGAAAAGTCACAAAAAAAGTCAAAAACATACTTTTTTCAGAAGTTAAAAATTTTAACTTCTCAGAAAAGCAGAAGTCAAAAGTCAAATATTTTTTTCAAAAACTAAACATTTTTATAAAAATATAAATAGCTTTAACTTTTATAAAAAGTACTTTTAAAATAAGAAAGTGGTAAAAGTTACTTTTTGAAAAAAGCTTAACCAAACGACCACTAAATCTTAAAGATGATGAAGAAGGGTAAAATGGGGAACTTATAGTGGAAATGTGGTGGAGGTGGGAGGAAAAGGACACTTGGAGCCGAAGCAAAAGTCAGTTTCTCTTATCGTAGAGGAAGGCCCACAGAGCCCACCTTCTTGTTCTGTACGTTTCTGCCTCCTCGTTGGCTTCGCACCATTCCACATACCATTACTTGTATCATAAATATCGTGTCGGTAAAAAATATATATATATATATTTATCATTTTAAGCGACATAAAATTATATTATTTTTAATAAAATTATGTCATTTAGTAAAATTTTACATTTTTTTCTCTATTTTTTAATTCTAATTTTATGAATTAAGAAGAATGACAAAATACACCAAAATAATATAATTTTATTTAAAATGATGAATATTAAATCCAAAAAAATATAAGTCTCACTTCTGTTATTGCTGCACCATTTTTTCTGTTGCAATAAACACGGAAAAAGTAGGTCATACTAATTTTTTTTTTTTAAAAAAAAATTAGAATCTATCAATGTATCCTAATTTTTCATATGTTGCTACCAAATTTTTCTTTTACAACAACAGCAACAACATAACCACATTACCCAAAAATGTACGGCTTATCTCTCATTTTGTTGCGCTAATTGGGGTAAAACTTGTTGTCACCTAAAACTAGTGTTATTAAAACCGGATCAGCCGGCCGGTCCGACCGATAAACTGGTACCGGTTTTTCAAAATTAGTTACAAAATCTTTTTTTGCAACAAGTGGGATTCGAACACACTATCTTGAAGTAAAGAGAGCCGTTTTCTACCACTACGCCACCATCACTTGTTGAATAATTTATACCATTTAATATATTTATCATATAACTTTTAAGTTAAGAGAATTATTTCAAAAACTGCATGTAATGGGGTTCGAATCCCTTGTATTAAGAATAAACAACATAGCAAATACCACTAAACTACATAAGGTTATTGTGTAGATAGCACTATTTAATATATTTATTATATAATTAAGTATAAAATATAAATTTATATATATATATATATATATATATATATATATCTGATTCATGCGGTTCAACCAGTGACCCACAGGTTGAACCATTGACCAAGTGACTCCGTACCTAGACCGAGTCAATGACCGATCCGGTTCTAATAATTTGCCTAAAACCCATCACTATTTGAGTTTATGGGGCAATCATACTAATCGGCGTGTATTTGATATTTTTTCAAGACAAAACAGTACTTCTGAGTTTATATGGCTTAACCCAAAGAAAAAGTAATTATATAAAAGATTCTAAAGAATATAAATTTATATTATTTTAAATGAAATTATTGTTTTTTAATGCATATTTAGAGAGTTTTTTTATTCTCTCTCTTTCATAAAAGTAAGAGAAGAGTGATATATAAAAAAAAAAAAAAAGTAAGAGAAGAGAGAAAGTGAGAATAATATGAAGAAGAAAAAAGATAAAAAAAATATATTGAAATATAATAATTTTATTTAAAATGATATAAATTTATATTCTTTAAAATAATAAACATTTTTTTCATAAAAAATTTAGTTTGTTAAATAACGAATGTAGCAAAAGCGGCCGCACCCAACTAGTCAAACTTGGTGCTTGACAATTTCTTCTATCCTAATGCTGAACCCACACATTGAATATTGATAGAGAAAAAACGAGTCAAAGCAAACTAGAATAAGTGGTTGAGAGTTGAAATTAAATTACTTAAGAGGCCTACCCCAATAAATAGTGTGAAAGCGAAGCTTTCATTTTTTATTTTGCCTAATGGAGGTTAGGAATTTAACAAGGAGAGGGGTATTTTTAGATGAGACTGAAAGTTTAAAATCATGGGAAGGGATTGTGAATTATCTAACATTGATGGGTCTAATTTATCGGCTTGGTATGTTTTTTGTTTTACCCGTTCATATTTGGTTGAATGACTTTGGGGGTTCATTTTGAACATGCTATCCTTGGTTACAGTGGAAAACGACAGCATATATCCCGGTTTAGTTACGTAAACCATTCCCACACTCCTCCGTCTATCGTAAACAAACCTTTTCTTTTGAAGATAGTAAAAAGATTAAGGATCGCTGTACTTCAGATTTGTCAACTTTTCATAAAGCAATAGTATCATAGGATTTGGATCGTCATAGAAGAGTGATTATGTTATTTGATTATAATCTCTTATTGATTATGACATAGGAGAGAAAAAAAATATATAATTCTTAAATGAGTGATTATGATCGTATGACATGACTAGACCACTTTTTCATATAAGAGGGTCTTAATCCAGATTTCAAACAAATTGTTTATATTTAATTTCCAAATAAATTCAAAATTTAAAATTATTTTCAAAATGATATATGTGAAAGAAAACTTGGGTGGAACTTATAAGTCATCTTTCGAATTCCGAGTTATCTGACTTTTGGAGATTTTTATTAATCATTAACTAACCTTACAGTTGAGAGTTTATTTGCTTGTTTTCTGTATAAAATTAGGAAACAATGTTTCTTACATTATAAAATAATTTTATTTTTTATACATACATAAAAATTTATGAGATTTATATTTTTTTTCTCTCTTCTTCTCACATGAGTCCCACACACTTTTATGTGTATATAAAAAATAATTTTATTTTCTATAATATAATAAATATGAATCCCATAAAATTATTAATATTCATGCTTATCACTCTTTTAAAGTTGTATTCTATGCAACTCGTGGATAACTGTATCTTTAACTATGCGCTAACTAAGAGAGTGAATCATCTTGTGTTAAATAAAATATAATATGACCATATAAAAAAATTATAACTATATAAAATTTTGTTAAATAAGATACAATATGATCATATAAAATAACTATACAAGAGTAAATTAATGATAATAAGAGAAGAGAGAAAAAATATTAAAATAGATATTTATAAAATCATTACTATTAATTTATCTTTAAATTAATTATGATTTTCTTATATAACAATTTCATATTTTATTTAACACAAGAGCATCCATCTTCGCTAACTAACGAGTCAAGTCAGGCTTTGATGCCATAAGTCCTACTTTGCACCGATGCAACAATTAACAATAAGTAGAGAGCGACACGAGTAAAACAACTTGACATTTTTATTGTATTTTTAGGGAAAAAAAATTGTATGCATGAGATATATTCAATTGGATATAATTTTTTTTCAAGGAGAAAAAATTATAATGTAGTAAAAAAAAATTCAAAAATGATGAAAATTTTATCAAATATAAAAGAAGAAAGTACTCACTCCGATACTCCCATAAATCATAATACCAAAGTTTAACTCCATTTTTAGATGTAAAATTAACTTTTTTTTAGAGACTAATATTTCTAACAATGAATGTTTAAGACTAGAACTTTTAACATTGACAGAACGTCTTAATTGCCTAATTCAACTTTACTTACTATTTTTTTTTTTTTTTTTTGTGAATACTTTGCTTTCTATTAGAACTATAATATCCTCTTAGATAATTTGTACAAGATTTTTTGGTCAGCCAAAAAACAATATAAGATTTTTGTAATTGCTTGAAGTGTAAATTATTAAATAAAAAATAAAAAAATTAATATTTGAAGAATTAAAAAAATATTTGATATTCACTTTAAGGTAATTAAAAATTATTAGGCTGATTCATTTACAAAATTCAACTTTTTGTTAATGATTTGTTCAAAATATTGTGTTTACAAATATTTAACTGTTTACAGAGAATTAATAATTAATTTTAACTTAAAAATTGATTTATGACTATCACAAATTCACAATACATTTTTTCTATTTTGCTTATTTCTACCTGCTAATTTTTTATCAAATAAAGAGGAACAAGTTAGTAGTTTTATTTTAAATTTCTTTTACGTTCTTATCCTTTAACATTTAGTGATTTGCTAGGTCATTCTTCAAAAATTAATTAAAAAATAACATGCTCATTTTCCTCATGAAAAGGTTTTTAAAATATAATTAATTTTAAATGCAAATACAAACTCTCTGAAATATAGAAAGTAGCATGTTGAATTTAAAAAGTAAAATATTTTTATTTATAATTATATATTATAGTTATTAACCCAAAATTAAATATATATGATGGAAAATAAATTACGGATTTAATTTAATTATTTAATGAAATAAAAAGAATTTTAAAAAAATATAATAATACTAGACAAATAAAATGGCAGGAAAGCCCCTTCTACGGCTCTTTGTAGGGCACAATATGGTTGCGTATTCAATGTTAAATAAATGAAATCTGTGAGTTAGCAATAACTTAAGACGTTTGGTAAAGGATAATTTTTTTTATATTTGGAAATTTCGATTTTCATAAATATAATTTTTACATTCAGATTACGATAATATCTGAAAATTATAAATTTA